TCACTTATCAGACATAAGACTATATAAAGAGCACGTATTCTACTTGATGCAGTAAAACATCAGTTAAACTGAGCGCATACCAATTCCTGTAGGCGCAGAAGAGCAGGAAGCAGGCTGAAATCCATATCTCTCATGCGTTCAGCTCTGTCCAGAATCTACAGGGACATTGTCACATTAAGGCACATCTTTAATAAATATCTAAATGCACAGACATAACATTCTGACAAAATTCCAAGCATATTATTTCATCAACATCATACTACATATACGTACTACATATTAGGGCTGCACGATAAATCGCATGCAATATTTAACGCGCATCTTATCAGTAAAGCCGGTTCTGTAATCAGCGGTAAATCTCCATCACCTGTGTGCTTTCACATTGAGCAGCATTAACTACACAGAGCCGTTGTTCACTGACGAGCTGCGCAAAACCACGATCATATTCGCGCGATGTTTTGCGCAGATCGTCAGTGAACAACGGCTCTGTGCAGTTAATGCTGCTCAATGTGAAAGCCCGCAGGTGATGGAGATTTACCGCTGATTACAGAACCGGCTTTCTGACAAGATGCGCATTAAATATCGCATGCGATTTATCGTACAGCCCTACTACATATATGTAAAATAAACTCACTATATAGCGTGTCTGAGTGGCAGGTGAATTAGAGCTCATCTGTTTGTACAGTCGCACAAAATCTGACAAAGACGGGCAACGGGGAAGCAACGCTGCAGCATCGGGCCCAAAAAAGGCAGACAACACCTGGTGAAAGAGAAGCCCACTGGACACACACTCAACACAGTCCACTGACGCATGGGGGAGCTGAAACACACACACACACAAAACAACAAACACTACATGACTTTTAAAGCACTAGGCAGCATACACATGTCTACTTTGTAAACTGTTACAGAGGAAAACTAGTCATCATACACTACGGGCAACGGGGAAGCAACGCTGCAGCATCGGGCCCAAAAAAGGCAGACAACACCTGGTGAAAGAGAAGCCCACTGGACACACACTCAACACAGTCCACTGACGCATGGGGGAGCTGAAACACACACACACACACAAAACAACAAACACTACATGACTTTTAAAGCACTAGGCAGCATACACATGTCTACTTTGTAAACGGTTACAGAGGAAAACTAGTCATCATACACTACATGTCGACTAAAGATACACACACTACCAGACTGACAAGTTGTTCCAAACACAACAAACTCATGCAGAAACATGTGCCTTGTTACTAGAGGTCACAAGACAAATGGAAATAATATATGTTTAATACATGTTTGATGTCCTCAGACTGGACCGGTTCAGTCTGGAGCTAATAGGGGTTATGCGCAACAGACTTCCGTATTCTGTTAACCGGGTCTCGTCGCTTCCGGTTCAAGCGTTTTGCATATCCTTAGTTAAATTAGAAGCAGTTTTACTCAAGAAGCCTTCAAAGTAGATACCAATGATGATCATAACCAATGTCCATCACCTATGCGGACTGATATCTACACGTTTTTTGTATTTTTATTCTTTTCACATTTAGATATAAAAATTGAATAAAACGTCAACAATAAAAACAGCTAGCTAGTTTAACTGATTATATTAAAAGTCCATAGATATCGCTATTATTTAACACGGCTGTTAACACGTTCCCCGACAAGCGGAAGCAATGAGACCTGTTTTCCGGGTTTGGTCAGGTGATGTTCGACATATACCCTATAAAGCTAATCATTCACTATGTAATTTTCAGAGAAATCTGTCAAGTCTAACTGAAAATTTTTTTTAGCAACTAGAGCGACTCCTCAAACCTGTAAATTGTGCCAAAGGTCGTGTAGTGTATTCCATAAACGAGCACTTTTACAGGCTTTATAAACCGCAACTTTCCAAATACTCGGTTTTCATGATCTTACCTCCAGATCTTTCATGACGGAGAGCACCACATGACTCTTCCCTGTTGCTCTGTGGCCATAGATGAAGAATGAAGGATAGCTGTATTGATCTGGCTGTTAACAGACATCGAAACCACGGTTCACATTAACTGCAGACATTTATAATTTAATATATTTAAACTATAATTGATTCACATGTGATGCAAAGCTGAATTTTCATCAGCATCATTACTCCAGTCTTAAGTGTCACACGATCCTTCAGAAATCCTTCTTAAATGCTGATTTATTATCAATATTGGGACGTTTTGCTGCTTAATATTTTGTTGGGAACCTGTGATACTTTTTTTCAGGATTCTTTGCTGAATAATAGGTTTAAAAGAACAGCATTTATTCAAAATAGAAATCTTTTGTAACAATATGCGCTACCGTTCGAAAGATTGGGGTCAGTATTTAACTCACCTGTCCCATGAGCGACAGCAGTGACTTCAGCTGAGTCTCTCTGCAAGGCAGCCTGTCAGCCAGAGAGCGCAGTGTGTCCTCAGGATAACCGGGACACTGCAGCGTTACAGACATTCTCTGCTCATAATGAAACACCTGTATCACTGTCATGTTAAAAAAGCATCAACGTTACAGCTGATAGAACACGTGCTTGCGTTTGAAAAACAGCAACGTAAGGGGCGCAGAGCGCACGGATCTTTAAACTTGATCTTAAACGCTGAAAAGGACAGAAACCCGACGCACAGGCATACATCTGACGCATATTCATAAGCAATTAATAACCAAAACGGCGAGAACACATTGTGAATAATATTTACACGTGTTCAAACCGACAGACCACTTCGTTAAACATGCCACTTTTCAATAGAAACGTGTACAAAAAAACAACAATATAAATACCTATACTTGAGAAACGAACGGTTATATTTTTCCGTTTTTGAGGAACAGGGAGCTTCGCCTCAGTTTCCCCGCGCTGTTCACGAAGGTCGTCACGAGTCCGCGTCATTTCCGGACAAGCGTCTGGGATTTGTAGTTCTTGGTGGTTTAAATCCCAACGCTCTTGAATTGAATTTGTAAACGTTTAAACCCGAGAATCCGTATTATCATCAGCCTGAAAGTCAAAAGAGACGCAGGTGCATTTAGATATCATTTTAGGGAATACGTTTATTCTACAGGCACGCAGGCGTCTCTTCATCTGCTATGCGGACGGGAGTGACAGACGCAGACTGAATATTCGGGTGTGCCAGAAATCTGCGCTGGTCGCTCGAGCGCACTCCATCCCCCGCGAGCGAGTCTCACTGCGATCAACACGCGCGGCGTGAATCTCATCCCAGCGTTTATTTACTCAGGCGACATCACTGTGGTCAGGTGTAATGTGTTGTATTGCTCGGAGATGTGCGCTCAGGATTAAATCGGATGGAGCTGCGGTACGCCGTTAAGCCAGCGGCAGAGAGGAGAGCGATATTTGCGTTAAATCTGAGAAGAATGGAGACGCAAAATATAATGCAGTGCAAGTGTCGTCGTCCGAACATCCGTTATTTCTATTAAACAGCAAGATTTATCACGGAAAGTCCTTTATAGCTTGTAATAGCCTCATGGAAACAACCCTTTGGACTGTGTAAGGTAGATTATTGTTTTTATATAAGTATATATATATATATTAATAGATAAATGTCTTTAATCTCTTAAAGTTTGGGTATTCGCAAACCATCTAAGTATTATTAATTGATTCGGGTCATCATTAAGTATTCATACTGACATTTCCGTTGGGAGTGTTATCTCCGCTGCACTGGAATGGGTCTTCTTCATAAGAGCTGTGTCTTCATTTGAGTTTAGTCATTATTTTTGCTGTCCCAAGTGTGATGATTCAGCTTAATGAGATGCATAGAGGCTGAATGAGAAGAGAGCTGGAAGAGAACATCATTGGAGGCACGGACAGACTGCCACATCCACGCTGAACGAATCACTGGGACATCTGGAACTAAAACTGCTTAGTCTGTCGCCACATCTGTGAGCGGTTCTGTCTGTACGCGCGGCGTGAATCTCATCCCAGCGTTTATTTACTCAGGCGACATCACTGTGGTCAGGTGTAATGTGTTGTATTGCTCGGAGATGTGCGCTCAGGATTAAATCGGATGGAGCTGCGGTACGCCGTTAAGCCAGCGGCAGAGAGGAGAGCGATATTTGCGTTAAATCTGAGAAGAATGGAGACGCAAAATATAATGCAGTGCAAGTGTCGTCGTCCGAACATCCGTTATTTCTATTAAACAGCAAGATTTATCACGGAAAGTCCTTTATAGCTTGTAATAGCCTCATGGAAACAACCCTTTGGACTGTGTAAGGTAGATTATTGTTTTTATATAAGTATATATATATATATTAATAGATAAATGTCTTTAATCTCTTAAAGTTTGGGTATTCGCAAACCATCTAAGTATTATTAATTGATTCGGGTCATCATTAAGTATTCATACTGACATTTCCGTTGGGAGTGTTATCTCCGCTGCACTGGAATGGGTCTTCTTCATAAGAGCTGTGTCTTCATTTGAGTTTAGTCATTATTTTTGCTGTCCCAAGTGTGATGATTCAGCTTAATGAGATGCATAGAGGCTGAATGAGAAGAGAGCTGGAAGAGAACATCATTGGAGGCACGGACAGACTGCCACATCCACGCTGAACGAATCACTGGGACATCTGGAACTAAAACTGCTTAGTCTGTCGCCACATCTGTGAGCGGTTCTGTCTGTACTTGAGTTTAGGTGGCACCCCAGGCAACATCCAGAGAGGACTGAGTCCAGATCGAATCCACAGAGGACCAAAGTCGAAACTAAATGCAGAGTGGACTGAATACATCAAATTAAATTCAACCCAGACACAATCTGATTTCCAGACAGGTCCTGAATCCTGTCTCAATCTGGATAGGATCTGAATCCAGACTGAATTCATTAAGGACCTAAATCTGGACTGAATCCAGATAGAATATGAATTCTGACTGAATCCATAAAGAATCTGAGTGCATTGCGAACTCACAGCGTATCTAAATACAAATTGAATCTAGATATCAAATTGAATCAAATTGAATCTTGGGATCTGTATCCAAAAAAGGACCTAAATCTGGACTGAATCCAGATAGGACCTGAATCCAGATAGAATATGAATTCTGACTGAATCCATAAAGAATCTGAGTGCATTGCGAACTCACAGCGTATCTAAATACAAATTGAATCTAGATACAACCTAAATCTAGATTTCATCCAGAGCTAACCAGAATCCAGTATCAATCCAAATAGGATCTGTATCCAAAAAAGGACCTAAATCTGGACTGAATCCAGACAGGGCCTGAATCTAAATTGGATCCAGATAGAACCTCAATCTAGATTCAGTCCAGATCGGACCAGAATTTAGACTCAATTCAGATAGGATCTTAATCCAGATAGGACGGAGTGCAGTTCGAATCCACCGTGGAGCTGAGTCCAAACTGAACCTATATCTAGATTCAGTCCAGATAGGATCTGAATTCAAATATCCAGGTTGAATCCAGAGAGCGCCTAAGAACAGAATCAAGACTAAATACAGCGTGAACCTAGTCAAGGTTGAATCCATTGGGGACCTGAGTCCTATTTGAATCCATAAAGTACTGAATCCATCTATGATCCCTGGGACACCTGCAGCGATGCTCCCAGCCACGGAAGCAGCCAAGATCTACCAGACCAACTATGTCAGGAACTCTCGTGCCATCGGGGTCTTGTGGGCCATCTTCACCATCCTCTTCGCCATCGTCAACGTGGTATGTTTCGTTCAGCCCTACTGGATCGGCGATGGCATGGACACGCCACAGGCTGGCTACTTCGGCCTCTTTCACTACTGCATAGGTAATGGAATTTCCCGGGACCTGACGTGCCAGGGGAGCTTCACAGAGTTTAGCGCCATCCCGTCTAGCGCCTTCAAAGCTGCGTCCTTCTTCATTGGGATGTCCATGGTGTTGGTCCTCTCCTGCATTGGCTCCTTCGCCTTCTTCTTCTTCTGCAGTACAGCCACTGTGTATAAGATCTGTGGGTGGATGCAGCTGGCAGCGGGTGAGTGAGTGACAGTGCATCCTTTGGATGTTTCTCAATGCGTAGTGATGTACGAGTAGCTAAGAGCCAGGAGTTCAATATGAAAGGGTGGAAGTCAGAAAGACAATCTGTGAAGTCCAAACACATACAGGCATATCTTCTGATATTTGCAGTTGGCATATTCTAATATTTTTATAAGTTTGTCATGGCACACTGAAAGAAAAAAAAAACATCATAGTACTTTAAACACAGTACCATTCAAAAGTTTGGGGCAATTAAAAAAAATTTAAATTAATACTTATATTCAACATGGATGCATTAAGTGATCAAAAGTGGAAGTAAAGACATTATGTTGTGGCAAAATGCTTTTTTTTAGCACCAAATCATCATATTAAAATGATATCTAAAAGATCATGTGACACTGAACACTGGACTAATGGCTGCTGGAAATTCAGAGGAATAAATTACATTATAAAATATATTCAAATAGAAAATAAATATATATTATTTCAATTTAATATAAAAAAATGAAATTGAAATAATTTCAAATAACTTTTGAACATACATTTAAATTCTAAATACAAGGAGTATTTCAGTAGTAGTCTAACAATTTGTGGTCCAATAAATTTTTTTTATATATACATACACATATAAACCTCAGATTTTTAATGTTTTCTCAGGCGTTTGGACTTCACTGTAATATGTTTTATATATATATATATACACATTTTTTGGGGGTATTTTTCTTTTTTAATAAGACTAAACCGTTTCGATGTCATTATGTGGATGTGCAATTCCCTATCAAAGATTCCAACCAAGGGTGGAAGTCAGAAAGACAATCTGTGAAGTCCAAACACATACAGGCATATCTTCTGATATTTGCAGTTGGCATATTCTAATATTTTTATAAGTTTGTCATGGCACACTGAAAGAAAAAAAAAACATCATAGTACTTTAAACACAGTACCATTCAAAAGTTTGGGGCAATTAAAAAAAAATTTAATTAATACTTATATTCAACATGGATGCATTAAGTGATCAAAAGTGGAAGTAAAGACATTATGTTGTGGCAAAATGCTTTTTTTTAGCACCAAATCATCATATTAAAATGATATCTAAAAGATCATGTGACACTGAACACTGGACTAATGGCTGCTGGAAATTCAGAGGAATAAATTACATTATAAAATATATTCAAATAGAAAATAAATATATATTATTTCAATTTAATATAAAAAAATGAAATTGAAATAATTTCAAATAACTTTTGAACATACATTTAAATTCTAAATACAAGGAGTATTTCAGTAGTAGTCTAACAATTTGTGGTCCAATAAATTTTTTTTATATATACATACACATATAAACCTCAGATTTTTAATGTTTTCTCAGGCGTTTGGACTTCACTGTAATATGTTTTATATATATATATATACACATTTTTTGGGGGTATTTTTCTTTTTTAATAAGACTAAACCGTTTCGATGTCATTATGTGGATGTGCAATTCCCTATCAAAGATTCCAACCATTAATTAAAATACTGTGTAATGAACCGCCATCCGTGTGATCACTACTGAGTAGTCTTTTTGGTGCATCCACCAAATGTGATGCGTGTAGAAAAACACTTAAATCAGAACCGCTAGCCATTCAGTGAATCCACAGTGGACAAGATTATATAAATAAATAAATCATGCATACCACTTTATTATCCTTAAATAAAACAGATGAGCATGATGAGAAAATTAGCTCAAGCACTGGATGTGTCTTTTTTTCTTCTGCAAAAAAACAACAACTGCAGATAGGCGTAGTCAGTTTATTTTTCCCCAGCTGACCAATGCAGAACGTGTCCTTGATATTATTAATAATAGATGCTTCTAGTAGTAATTTTATGTTGTTTAATGGCCTCTGAAATTTGGGTTTAGTTGTGTTGTGCTCTGAAGGCTTGCATTTAATAGGAAGTAGAATCTATGAAATGAGCAGATGAGAGAGCTCAAGATGTGTGAACTGCATTTGTGCACAATGCTTTCATCTGAAGGCTTTGGCTTCAAAGGACTACATGAGTAGAGTCAGCAGTAAGAAGAACATACAGTATATCTCCCTGTATGCTAATATTTATTTCATTTTAACTCACTTTTTTTTTTCTCTTTTCCCGTTCATTTGTATTCTTGACAGAGTCAGAAGTGACTGACCACCCTCTCTGAATGTGTGTGTGTGTGTCTGTGCTCCACCTATCGGTTTTTGCTGTTGGAAGGGAGGGATGCACCACAAGAGAAAATGTTCTAAACATATCCAGCAAAAATTCTCAAAATGTTGAGCGCTCTGTAAACATTTCCTATTTTCTCAGAGAGGAAAAAGACAGGAGTTGTCTATTTTTGTGCCTGGCCTCAGGGACTTCAGGTGAGTTTTGAAAGTAACTCACAGTTGTGGACGAATTACTGTCATAGGTGCCTTATTTGCAGCTGTCAGAGCAAAATGACACGATGTTCTTGCAAGCTTCTATATTACTTGCATATTAGCGGTTTATAGAGAACAGTTCTGTAAGCATTTACTCAACCTTATGTCCAAATCCATATGATTTTTTTCCACAAAAGATGTTTAAACAAAGTTCACTCAGCTCTTTTTTCATACAATAAAAAAAATACAACAACCAAGGGCAGTCAAGCTTCAAAATGACAAAAAAGTACTTTAAAAAGCACACCTGTGGCCACAGGACAGCACTACACTCTAAAAAAAACACTGGGTTAAAAATAACCCAATTTGAGTTATTAACCCAAGGGCTGGGTAAATATAGGACGGAACCCATCTTGGGTTAAATTTACCCAGCAAATTGGGTTGTTTATTTAACCCAGCTAATGGGTTTATTCATTTTTACTATATTACTAGCTTATTTTTTTACTTCATACATTAAGGTTTACAGATTAACTTAAATCCTCTAAACCTTTCTAAAATACTCCACACAACCACTGGTTTGCATGATAACTTCCTTTATCATTTACAGCACTGTTTATATCGTTTTTAATAGGCTATACATATTGCCTATATTTAAACTCGTTTAACAAACATTAGAACAAAACTTCAACATTAAACAGAAGTAATTCACGTGTGATCGACCAGTCTCTGTTATTCGGTTTCCACCATAACGACGCTGGTTCTTGTGCCCGACCTGGAGTCGTGTTCGGCGGGGAACTGCTAACGGACCGCCGCACTGCGTTTCACTCTAGCCGAAACATGCTGACTCCATAACCTGCCAATAAACGGCTCTGAGGACATGTTTTAACATCCAAACAAAGTTTTATATTCTGTATCTTTATGAATAAAATCGTTTATTGTATGCAAAGCATCAGGCTTTTCCCATCACGTGAAAAGACCGTGACACTCGTTAAAGGTGATTCACACCGCGCGCCTGTATGTTGCTCTGCATAAAATTTAACTATATACAGTAACGATTTTATAGATAAAATAAAAATGTACACAAACCTGTATTTTACAGAAGAATAAATCAATTCGATGGCCCAAATACTGGGTTGTTACATTTGACCCAGGAGCTGGGTAACACAAAAACTACCCAAACACTGAAAAAATAACCCCCAAACTCAACCCAGCATTTGGGTTAAAAAAAAATAACCCAGGATTTTTTAGAGTGTAGTTTCTCACACTGCGCTGGTGTGATCTTGGTCCACTCTTCTTCCACTCTCTTCCATAGTAACTGTAGTGGGTTTCTTAGCCATAACTTTGTCGCTAAAGATTTTCCAGAGATTTTCAAATCGGGTTTATATCAGGACTCTGGGCTGGCCATTTTATTATTTCAATGTTCTTAGCTTCAAGAACTGCTTTACCTGTTAGGGTTAGGTTCAGTCCTTCCCCAGTTTTACAATGAACATAACGTTTCCCATCAGACCTAAATAAATTAAACTTGCTCTCACTAAAGTGAACTTTAGACCAGTTCTCCTCTCTCCACACAACATGCTCCTCAGCAAAGGTGAGTCTAGCCTTTTGATTCTTTCTGCTCATGAGAGGCTTAGTTACTGCAGAGTATGCTTTCAGTCTGACATCTCTTAAACAGATCCTTACCCTGGTCAGCTGGCTAGCAATTCCAGCTGCAGTGTTGAACCGATTCCCCATTGAGATTCTCCACATTATCCTGCCCTCTCATGCATTTGTCTTACGTGGACGACCAGCCTTTTGGGGGGACTTGAATGAATCGGTGTCATTGTAAAACTGCAATTTGCGAGAAATCAGATTCGAAATGACCAACTTCTCTTGCAATGGCTGAAAGGGTCATCCCTTAAGCCTTCATCTGGACAACCTCCTGTCGCAGGGTTTCAGTCACCTTAGAGCAGCCCGCAATTTTGCAATCTCAGTGAAAATTGGAGGAATGCTGCCAGTTAAATAGGGTTTGTCATATAATTAAGGAAATTAGCACCAGGTGCCAGATTAATACCAATAAATTAGAGGTATCTGTAAGTGTTCTCTAATTTTGATCAGAATTATTTTTCAAATATCTCATTTAAGGTTTTTATACTGTGCTTCAGGATACAATTAATTTACGAAATTTGCCTAAAAAAATTGCCCTTCTACACCTGTTAGGATAACTTCAAATAGGACTAAGCAGTGACCTTGAAATGTAGAAAATTGTAGGTTGTTCTCTAATTTTGATCTCCACTTTGTGTGTGTGTGTGTGTGTATATATATATATATATATATATATATATATATTCATTCATTTATAATATAATACTTGTATGTAAATTATATGATATGAAATTAATATAAATTATTTACATATATTTAACATAAGAATGGTGTCATTAATGCAAAAAATGCATTTGGTTCTTGCATGTCTTCTAGGATTCTACTTATAAAGTTGCTTAGCCCATGATCCATGAGCCCATGAATATGAGATGTTGTGGTTCAGATAATTATATCTTGCTTAAAGTGTGATTTGCAAGTCTAAGTCTTGCTCAACTGACAATTTTTAAAGGGGTCATATGATGCTGCTAAAAAGAACATTATTTTGTGT